CTATCATTTGTTTCATGCATATTAGTTATTGCTAAAAATGAAACATTACCTGCAACAATAATCTATTATTATTCTTAGCTGTCTTTATTTTTTCGGCGTAAGCAGGCTAAATTGATGGTAAAATGTTCCTTCAGTACCTTAGTCTAAAATCGGTAGATTAGTAAAAATGATTTTTGTTCATACTTTGCAATAAATATTCCAGTTTTTCTACAATTACAAAAAGGAAGTTAGATCGATTTCATCATGTGAGACTATGGAGGGTATTGGATAATAATTTGGAATTTATTTTGCTACATTATTAATCATACAAAATCAAGGTTTTTCTAATTCCTATTTGTACTATAAAATCTACAAATGGCGTGTTATTTTTCTTTTCCTATTTAGATCTTCAGCAAAAAATTATGCAGGCAAAAGCGGTTCTAAAGAAGCGCTCGTTGATAATATTTTATTCAGAAGAAAAGTTCACCGATATACATGTTATCATTCATGTTATCATCACAAAAAATTCATGTTATTATTACAAGAGATTGAGTTATTTTCAGTATTGGAATTGAATTTGACTGACAAATAATGGGTGATGTAAATGAACATGATAACGAACATTCACCGTTGTTAAGTAACGATAGATCAGTAGTTACTCCAAATTATGAAGGTATTGAAAGTCAAGGTACGGAAACTATTGTATCGGATGAACCGGAAGAATACGTTAGTCATGAAGAAGAGCATCATGCTGTACCACAGACACAGCAAACACATATTATCGATGAAACAAACGAAACATCGAGACATACCGGTCCAACTGTTACATGCCGTGTATGCTCAGCTACAATTGTTATCGAAGGGAAGGTCAAGAAATTTCCTCTTTTTTTTGAGATTTTTATGTATTCAGTAAAGATTTTTTTAATTGCTTATTAGATTATATATTAACATTGTTTAATAAATGAGGCAATTTGATAATTTTTAATCAAAATTTAGTATTTTGTGATATGTTATATATTTATTCTTCATGAATTCTTTTTTTTTTTCCAGACTAGACAACATGTGGTGAAATGTAATCAATGCAATGAAGCAACACCAATTCGTGCTGCGCCACCTGGTAAAAAGTATGTGCGTTGCCCATGCAACTGTCTTTTGCTTTGTAAAGCTTCTTCAAATCGTATCGCTTGTCCTCGTATCAATTGCAAACGTGTTATCACATTAGGTGGTAGTGCACCAGTTGGTACTGCAGTTAGGTATGTTCCTAATTTTAGCATGTTTTTGAATTGATCTGTGAATAAAGATTAGGTTTAGATACAGTTTCAGTTTCATTTTTTAAAAAGAAAAATGAAATCAACTGTTTACTGCGATAATTCTTTATGGAAAAGTTTCAAGCAAGTTTGTAGTAATAACTCGATATGCTTCTATTTTATAGAGCTCCAACTGGCACATGCCGAGTTCTATGTGCTCATTGTCAAGAAATTTTCATGTTCAATACACTCAATGTTACCGTCGCGAAATGCCCACATTGTCAGAAAATGTTAGTTAACCCTACGTAATTCAAAAATCTTATCATTCTAGTCAATTTTAATTTTTTATTCGAATTTTGAATTAGTCTAATAAGAAATATATAATGAAGTAGGATAAAGAATTGAAACACATATTATCTTTTGCAAACGAGTTTTTTATTAGTTGAACGTTAATATGAACGAAAATAATTGTAATAATAGAAAGAATAAATAAATAAATGTTGTAGTTCATCGGTGGGTCGTGACTATGCTCGCAACAGAGCAATCTTTTTCGTCGTTTGCTCTTTTTTGTTCTTAATAGCTGCGCTTGGTTTAATGGTAAATTTCTTCATTATTCTTCTGAATTTTTTTTAATTAATGTTTTTTTCTAATGGTTTCAGATAAGAATCGTTTATATCAAAAAATTCAATAGTAAACTTTATCTGCAATTTTTTAATTATTTCAGTTCTTTTTCTGCATAAATGTTAATGCATTTATTACTCGACAATGACATTGCTTTTAAAGCTTATATGTTAATGTATTATTATAACATTTACACTTCCGGCGTTTATCGATGTAAGACTGATCAAAAAATAGTTTTACTAGATTACTTTTATTTTGCTAGATTACTTTTATTTTTTTTTTACTAATAATATTTTTTTCAGATAGGGACATGGAATTCGGCAAAATCTGCACCTTTCATCTATCTCAGCTGGCTATTTGTCATTGCTATTGCACTGTTTTTTTTCTTTCGTTTTGCGTATTTCATAAAACTGAAAACGAGCACAGTTATTTCTCCATTGTAAAAAAAATACGGTTTGCCCGTATGTTTTTGTAAAAAAGATGTGATTTCGATCCAGCGCTGAATGGTTTTCCACGCCTTAACTGTTTTTCTCATAACTTTCGCTTCAGCATTTGCTGCTTTTCTAGGAACTTATATCTTGCTCTTCAGTCTTTTATTTTCAATTTTCGATTGTATAAAATACGTAAATGATGCATATATATATTTGATCCTACATGGATTTATTGTGAAAACTTTTTTCTATTTATTGTCAAAATCCTGTATGTGAAGTGTTTTATTTTCCAATCTTGTTAAATTCAGGAGAGGTTATCATTATTGGTTTTTTTAATTTTAGTGTTTCATCTATTTCTATTTTAGCATTCTTTTTCATTAGCTATTTAAATGAAAGTATATTTGGCTCCAGTTCTACTCCAGCAAACAGTTCACAGACTTTTTTGCTTCTCAGGTTTTTTATAAGTTTTTCTCACTTATTCCATGCTCCTAAACGTGGTGCGATAAGCTCATTCTTGAAGATTTGATTATTGTTTAAAAAATGACTTTCATTACAAGTGATTTTGCAAATAGAAATAATTTCCTCTCATTCTTTTTCTCATATCTAAAAATGGGATTTTTCATCTTGGAATTTCAGGAATTTCAAGATTTCGGTACTTTTTGCTCTAAATGTGTTTTCAAGATTAAAAGATGTCGTGAATTGATTAAGATGATAATGTTTAAGCTGCTCTTGTTCTAAAACAGTGATATTTTCAGGCGCAAATTCCGGTAGTGTTATCACTTCTCTTATGCTATTGCTTGTGTAAACTTTGCGAAAATTTATGGAATAATTTAATAAAGAATAATCTTCGTCAAATGTTCATGAATTCTTCCCTGGGAAATAGTCTCAAGAATTTTCCTTCCAATTATATTTTGTTACTTTTGTAATGAATTTTCAACTACCAAGTTTATTTTCCCAAATTATTGGAATAGTTTTGGTGGTTTATTGCAGGAAATTAGTGTTTACCCTGTTTCGTGCCAGGCGAAATGCTTTATTTTTTGCAGCATTTTTATTAGCAGCGAAACTTTCTCATTCTCTTTTAAGCAGTTCATTTAATTTTCATTGCCTTTCAATTTTTATTTAGATTCACTGCAAAGATAATATTAATTTCAAATCAGAACATATTTACTTGGAAATTCACTACAGTAGATTATATTAAAATCGAATTTTTTTTTCTTTAGCACTGTTTTTATTTCATTTTATTTCACTTATTTGTTTTCATCTTTCGCATTGAATAAATTGTAGCATAAATTATATGATTATTTTTGCATCATTCGGATAAATGAATAATAATGGTTCATATTAAAAGAATCAATTTTTGTGCGTAATTGATGTAAAATCGTATATTTCAAACTGCTTCAAATTATCAATTGTTTAATTAAATCAAAAAAAAAAAATTGTTTGGAAGTTTGAGTATCCATATTTGAGAAAAAATCAAAAATTTTATTTTCATATGGTATTTGCTTATCATGTTCAACAGTTTTCATATTTTAACAAATTTCAAAACATCACTGTAAATGTGATTTTCAGAAATCAATGATTAACTGTGTTAACTCATGTGTTAACTTAAATTTATGAACTAATAAGCGGAAACAATAGTTTAGATTTGGTGAAATGAGATAGTTAAGAGGAAGATTTATTCAAAATATTTCTTTTTCAGTTTAATTCTTATTGTGTCCACATTATATTGATGAGCAACCGTTTATTGATTTTATCGTTGTATAAACAAATTTTACGAAAAGCCGATAGTTTTATATACTCGGACAAGGAATATTTCTGTGAACGGGTTTATCGAGAATTTTTTTTCAATAAGAAAGCTACCGGTAAAAAGGCAGAACGACTTGTACAGGTTTTGAATTTCTTGCAATTTTATTAAATAAGAGATGTGTTGTTAATTATTGCTCATGAACTATAATTATCTAAAAGGAATTTTGTTTTATTGAGCTGAGAAATGGCTTAAGAAAATTCACTGTTATGATTTAAAGGCTTCTTCATCCTAAATTCAAATTATATGTATTTATCTGACAAGAACAAATTTTTCTATTTACCAGAAATACTGAAAGGAAAAGAGTATTTTAAATAGTTTCGGATGAAAAATGAAAGACTGGTTAAAAGGGGATTGATTTTTTAACAGATTTAACTTCCATCACTGTTTTCGGTTTAATCTTTCCAATTTTAAAAAGCACAAGTAATGAATCTGTGAAAAATTTTGATGAAATCATTAATGAAAGCTAGCTTTTGTTACCACAATTCCAAATGTTTTTGTTTATTTTGGAATGGTTTATTGACAAAATATTTTGACATGAAATAATAAAACATATCTAAATGCTTAGGTAATTAGTCAAATATTTATAAGTAATGTTTTTCTATACTAATAAAAAGTTCTTACTACTATTATTTCTTTGGTTACATCACAATTTTCTTTTTCTAAAAAGCTTTATCAGTATGCATTTTAAAAACATTAAATTTTACACGAAAAATTTGACATGATACAAAAATCCAGAAAATCTCATTGATTTTACAGAAATCCTTGTTGATTTTAGAAAGCCCAACAACTGTTGAAATCGGATCGATTTTGTTGACGTATAAATTATGGTTTGTATACTGGGAATTGAAAGCAGCGCTAATAAAGTTGGTGTTGGGATTGTTCGTGATGGCGAGGTATCCGTTTTTACCTATTATTATTTGCCTTCAGTTCAGTTTTTTTGTAATTTTGATGACCATATTAATTTTTTCTTAATATGCATTTATCATTTATACGTAGGTATTGTCAAATCCTCGAGCTACTTACCATGCTCCACTTGGCCAAGGCTTTCGACCACCGGAAACAGCAACACATCATAGGCAAAATATCGTTCGCATTGTTATTGATGCTTTACAGCAGGCTAATATTAAAGTAAGTATTATAATAGAAAAGAATTTATATAATTTACACAAAATCAAATATTTTCGAAATTCCTGTATTTTGTATCATCACTAAAAATATCGAAAGCATGTGATGCTAAATGAATAGTATTCTCTGGTCTGATCAACTTGCTTATCGGAAGTTTTGAATTAATAGTTAATGAAAGGGCCAACAAAATGTTTTGTGATCGAGTATTGCATTTGGAAGTAGTATGTGCGCTTTTTTATATGCGTGTGATCAATAGTTGGTGTTAGTTAATGTTGAGTGTTTGTTAATGTTGAGATTTTTTTTCAGAATCCAAAAAATGAAATTGATGGAATTGCTTATACAAAAGGACCGGGAATGGGTGCTCCACTGCAAGTTGGTGCAATCGTAGCACGTACATTGTCACAGATATGGTCAATCCCGCTCTATCCAGTAAATCATTGTATTGGCCATATTGAAATGGGACGTCTTATCACAAAAGCTGAAAATCCAGTAGTGCTTTATGTCAGTGGAGGTAATACTCAGGTACGCTAAGTTAATGATTAATCTTACTGATTTTCCTTATACATTTTATCTTGATTTTGATGAAAATATTATCATTAGATTGGTTTTCTTCCAGGTCATCAGTTATTCTAATCAACGCTATAGGATATTTGGTGAAACGTTAGATATTGCTGTTGGTAATTGTCTGGATAGGTTATATTTGATTCTATTTCTTTTTAATATATTTAAAATATTTCAACTTGTATTAATTTCTGAATGTATTTCTTGCTTACGATAAATTTTGAAATGATACATGAAATCATTTATATCTCTTTAGATTTGCTCGATTGATAAACCTTCCAAATGATCCGTTTCCGGCTTACAATTTGGAACAACTTGCCTTGGAGGGGAAAAAGCTTATCGCATTACCATATACAGTAAAAGGAATGGATTTATCACTTTCTGGCATACTTTCTTATGTCGAACACAAAGGTTTGCAAATGATTCAAACTGGTGAATGTACTGCAGCTGATCTTTGTTTCTCTTTGCAGGTTAGTAAAATTTTACGTAGTTATAAGGAACAATTGTTGAAATTTCACTTATTTTCACATGAAACTTTTGCTTGAATAGCATTAAAATTGTATAATTTCGAAATTCGTGGAAGGAAAGTTTTTAGCATGCCATGTTTTTCAGGAAGTTTTACACTAAACTGTGTTTCTCTCAAAAATACTTCTATGTTTTATGAACTGGAATTCTTTTTCAGGAAACAGTATTTGCTATGTTAGTAGAAATTACCGAAAGAGCGATGGCACATTGTGGTAGTAACGAAGTATTAGTCGTAGGTG